GTAGGTGAAAATTCTTGAGAGTAAAGACCGTTCCGATTAAAGCTTACATCCCCCGCCCACCACCCAACCACGTGAGGATAATATTCTATTCGGGTCAGGAAAAAAGCTATGACTCAATATTCTCGAGTCTCGACACGTGTTCCATTGTGGTGCAGTTCTGGTCACTCATGTATGTCGCTTTCATTCTTTTTCCCAGCCAATCATGTTCATCTTGATCTTGGTCTTGATTTTTTTTCTTGAGATACTTTGAAAAATTATTGGAAAAATACTAGAGATGGGCGGGGATAATCCGTTGCGGATATCTGCTATTCGCTGGCGGATACCCACCAGAGGATGCGGATGTCCTTTCCCCTCCCAAATCCCGGTGGATATCCAGGTATCGCCTGAGATACCCAAGTCCAATGGCCGGCTGGAAGGGTTTCCTTCCAGCCAGCAAGGTCCTTCCAGCCGGCAAGGATGTGCCTTGCCGACTGGAAGGACCTTGCCGGCTGGAAGGAAACCCTTCCAGCCGGCCATTGGTCTTGGGTATCCCAGGCGATACCTGGATATCCACCGGGATTTGGGAGGGGAAAGGACATCCGCATCCTCTGGTGGGTATCCGCCAGCGAATAGCAGATATCCGCAACGGATTATCCCCGCCCATCTCTAGTATTTTTCCAATAATTTTTCAAAGTATCTCAAAAAAAAAATCAAGACCAAGATCAAGATGAACATGATTGGATGGGAAAAAGAATGAAACAACAAAAATGAGTGACCATTGTTATTAAAGAGCTTTGGAAACCGTTGCTATTAAAGAGCTTTGGAATGTGTGATTGGTAGCCACCAGACCAACCCTGCAAATGCAATCAGAGTCCAGACACTGAAAATCAAACCAGATTAATTTTCAGTCTCAGTCTGGTTTCTAATTCTGCTCTCTATACAAACCTTGGATCATCACTTTTTCATTTTTTATTTATAATCATTCTTTTCCACTTGTGATTTGCTTTGATCCTTTTCTTTTTTTATTGAGCTAAATATGTACTTTGTGAAAAATGATCGAAAAATACCAAAAAAAAAAAAGTCAAAAAAAAAGGTCAGGAAAAATATATAACAAATGTTTTGCAAATCATTTTTCGATCCAACTGTTCAGAATCATTCTTTGGAACTCATGTTCTACAGCTTCACCATGAGGAGGCATAAATTTCAGTCCATTGGTTTAACCTCTAGACCTCAATCAAAGGGTTCCATTTTTTCTGTCAAGGGGCTGTACATGGAGAATGACTTTGTGACATTGAGTCCAAGCCAAAAAAAAAAGCTCATACCTCCCATTAACCCATATTGCACTACCACCCGGGTGTTCAGGTGGGTTCAGAGACCCACCCCGAGGACCGACACCCGGGTGGCACCACCCGTGAAAACACCCGGGTGGCGTCTTTTGGGTTATACCTTTAGCCTGGATGCACATCTGTGAGGACTTCTTTGCACACCTTCCCGTGCGCTCCATCCTCAAATTCTTTCCCAAAAAGTGACGATCGGACGAGATGCTTCTAGACAATTTCCTTTAAAATGAAAAATCTTGATTAATGAAAAGTGGCTAAATTTTCGTCAAGTTCAGCAGATCATTTCGACTATGTATTGACCTGTCATTTTCATCCCATCCATTGTGTGAACATGGACGACATGGAAGCGGATTCAAGGGCCATTGGGACATCGGGAGGCCCCAAAGGTAGAAGAGATCCAAATGTCTTCCAGACTCGAGGTAGAGCACATGGTTGCACGAGTTAAGGTCTGCCAATTTGTTGATCAAGGGAGGGCGTGCTTCGAGTCCAGTTCAGCATCTCACCAAAAGAAAAAAAAGAAGCTCTTTCAGTCGGGTAATGTAGATGATGGGTTCCCTCGCGAGCAAAGCATCAAAAGTATCGATGACCTTGGACTTGTAAGGCTTTGATGATGATGAGGTCGTCAGAGCCCCAACCCCTCCTACATCATCATCACCCCCTTCCTTGCGGTCGACTTTCTCAGTTGCTTCGCCCAAGGTATGCTTTCGTGAATTTTCAAGTCCTATATGGATTCCCCCTCAAGATATAGTTGGTTAGGCTTAACCTCACATAGCTACTGAAGGAAAGAGGGTTGCCATACAAAAATCTGTGGTAATAAGAGCATCATTGAGGGGGTAATGTTTGGTCATAAATCAAGTCTCAATACATTTGGTTACCACGTCAAAATTTGCTCAATCATTTTTCTACTCTTTTGCAGTGTAGTTGTACATTGATCATCATCTTTCAACCAAACCCAATAGGATGTACCGTGTTAAGTCAAAAAGATGCAGTTGTATGATCAACGCGATTTGATGCATGTTTTGGATGGATTAACTGTTCTTATTTGGGCTCGAATAAACTTGTTTGGAAAACATGATGTTTATAGGTCAAGGCAAAGTGTCTAGGCTAGTTACAAGTGATCATTCAATGAAAGGACAGGAAGTTTATCGGAGAGGAAATGATGGAACTACAAGTTGCGGGTCGTGCTGTTGTGATCAAGGCAGCCGTGGTGGCGGCTCAAGTAAAGATCATGGATGTATTCCTCAGGGTTTGTAGGCGCACTTGACTGCGTCTGGATGGTTGACGTCAAAAGGTTCGGAGTCTTTACCAAGCCCATTTCTGGTTTTGAGGAGGCCGATGGTCATAACCTTTGAGGAGTGGGGTTTGTAACAGACATTGGAATCAGCTATTATGGATGTCTGATTGAGAGAGCAAGTGGCTGTTATGTTCGAGCGAGTCTATCTAACTCACTTGGGCTTTGGGGGGGCGAGGTAGAACAATCTTGCCCATCTCAGCGCAAACGCTGAGATCCGCGTTGGTGCCAAGGCAATTGTAAAAGAGGGGGTGATTCTCGGTGTGGTATGCTTTCAGGACTGTCAAAGTTGCACACACAAGAACACGATGAGGTTTTGATTTCTTATACGGTGATCACCATACAAGCAAAAACGCAGAAAAAAAAAAAAATAACTCACCTTCCCATCTGTTTGGTTGCCCGTCTTTGTCCCGGTGCTTGATTCTTAGACATCCTCCTTCAGTAAGCCTGGGACAACGAAACGTGCACCTCGTTTTGCGGTCTGATGCTAAATCTGCAGACGCAAACCCGCAAGCGATGATCGCAAAGAATGTGAGGAGTTTTATGGATGGCATGGTGGGATGATGGTGAGCGTGAGCTGTAGTCAAACAGATGAAGCCGGGAAATGGGATGGTAAATGTGCTTGGGATGGGGGAGGCGGTTTTTGTGTTCTCGAGGCTGGCTTTAGGCGAAAATGATCGTTTGTTGGACGGAATGTGGTGGGGTTCAATGACATTGCTCAAGAACCTGCTCTACTTATACGAGTCTGGTTCGATAGTGAGTAGTGTTGCAAGGCTCTTCGGACACCATCACCTGCCAGAAGAAGGCCCTGTGAGGGTAGTTCAAACCCTTCCTCCTCGTCATGAATCCTGAAAAGGTCTTTATGAGGAACTCATTAGCAACCCTGCAAGCGCCTCTAAGGATCCCCCCCAAAAAAAATACGAATCCAGAGACATCTTTGCCGGGCCAAGTGCATGTATCATGTGTATCCCACAACCCTAAGCGGCGGACCACACTACAGTCTACGGCTCAAGCATTGTAGTTCGTCGCCCTCTACAATGGCTTGTAGCACTCGAGTCCGAATGCGTTGCACATCGACATCAACTCCGCTTGCAAGGGTACTAGAGAGACACGCTGTCGGTCACTGGTTGCGCCAACAAATGGGCTCTTTGCTTGAGAATATAAGAATGTCGCTCAGATAGAACCCTGGAATCCCCCACCCAAGGGAGTACTCATCACCTGAATCAAGTCTTTTCAGGACTGTGGATCAATGTGTAATTCTCTCTTGTTTCCCTGTCCATTTTCGACAACAACAAAAAAAAAAAAATCGTGCACCCAGAAGAGCAAAAGCGAAAACCCTAAGTAGGTGTTACTAGGGCTCCTTGAATACATTGAAATCCGGTAATCTATGTACCTCCACTCGACACAAAATAGGTATGCTCAATGGCTCTTGAAAATTGATTCATGACGGAATCCGGAATTTTGGTTGAATTCTGGGGGGTTTCCTGCAGGGTCTTGTTCAGATTGACAAGGATGATAGATCGAAGTACTAGAGCCCGTTTGCAAGATGTGAAAATGTGGGCTTTCTCAGCTGCCAACTACCTCATCCGAGTCCTGTACGTTCCTCGAGAGATGTTCCTTGAACATAGTCTAAATAC